AAAAAAAAGGTTCGACTATCAGTCGACTACGGCAAAATCGAACGAATCAGATTCGACTATGAAAATCCTTAGTCGAAAACAGCCCTAGAATTTATAAATGTAGCCAGCAGATTTCATTATTGCAGGTATTTTCGCCTGGGGGTGGGTAATGTTAGCAACTTAGCCTCAGTATCTGATGGTGACAGTTTTTTTTTTTCTCATTTTTTTCCTCAGGAGTGGTTGACTATAGCATATCAGCTACAATATTTGTGCTGTATAAACCAGTGCCAAGTACAGTCACATACCACTAGAGAGAATGTGTCTCCCTAATATCTGGAAATAAGACAAAAAGATTTTTTCGCAGTTAGGCTTACTGGTACATCGGTCATTGTGTCGCTGTGGGAGATAATTAGAAAAAGTGTCGCCCCCCCCACCACCAGGGCGGATGCAATCGTGATGACATCACGTGCCCAATCCAGAAGAAAAAAAGTAATACCTGTCACAGCCGGGGCGGGCACGGAGGCTCTGCTTTTAGTGACGGCGACGGAAACAGCTAAACGTTCGGAAGTGTAACTACATTTCACTAGAGTCAACGCGTACAACACAGAGGTGAAATCAGTTTTAGGTTTGATATTCGATGGATATTCAGATCCACACTCTCCAGACTTAGCGGTGGGGCATCACACACGCTAGCCGGCATAAGGCGGTGAGACAGCTAGATCAATTCCACCCTGATTTAGGGACCGTCAACGAATTACTGTCAGAATAATAAAATACTGATTGCTTGCAATAACTTCAATGCAATGGAACCCAGTAACTCCAAAATGAGTGCATATTCTACATCTACCTGACATACACAGGACACAGTGAACTTTACTGGTTTTTAACACTTTATTGCTTTTTAAATTGTCATTTTAAAAGGAAAAAGTGGGTAAATAGATTTCTTTCAATAGCTTCCAGGCAATGGGAGCTTATGAACCAAATGGGTGCAAATTATGCTGCTACCTCAGGCCTATAGGACACAGCAACTTTCATTCAAGTTTAACCCTTTGTGTATTTGATATGATTTTTTTTCCCTCTAAAATTAGCCTTTTTTTCCCCCAATAGCTCCTAGGCCGTAGGAGCCTGCGACCCAAAACCTGGTGCCAATTGTAATTCTACCTCAGCCCTGTAAGACACAGCAACTTTTGTTTGTATCCTTTCAAGCACTGTATATGTATTCTTATTGTGAAATTTTGTCACCTTAATGATGTTCAATGTTAATAAAACCTACTATATAGCACCTCTAAGAAATTTTCAGAAAGTTACCGTCACATCCCACCCCTCCCCTAGTCAGACGACTAAGGGCGTTTTTCCACCACACCAGGTACCGTACTTTCGGTACTTCCATAAAGTGCCGAAAGTTTGGTACTTCTTTCATGTCGGTTTTCCACTGGCGTAAAAAATGGTACTACAATTGGTACTAGGTTTTGGGTCGCAGGCTCCTACGGCCTAGGAGCTATTGGAAAAAAAGGCAAATTTTAGAGGAAAAAAATCATATCAAGTTGTTACGCTCCAGTCTAGGGTTGGAGCCTAACAAAGTGAAAAGGGAAGGAGGGATTGGGAAGGACAGGACAACCAGAGCTAGAAGGGAACATGGGACACAAAGGGAGTCTTTTTTATAGTTTTTCACAGACACAGTACAAACACTAGGTGTAACGAACGTCAGGAGTGACAAAGGCCAAAGAAACAAACAAAAACACATCTACCGAGTATAGCCACAAGCTACGCTACCTAAGTGAACACAAAAGGGGTGAAACGAAACAACAATGCCTAAACCTATCTCCCTACCCAAACAGTAATCCCCACGTTGACGAAGAAACAAAAAGGCTCCTTACACACACCTTACACACACCTAGTGGAACACGAAACACACAGTCAAAGCAAAGGTATCCAGAGGGGAGATCAGAGAGGCGAAGTCAAAGTACAGGCGAAAGTTCAAAAACCAAGCAAGCAGCCAAAACCAGGGCGAAGGTACAGTAATGGATGAAGCGAAGTCAAGAGCAAAACATTCATACACGAGCTTCAAACCAAAAGCAAAGCGAATGAAGAGCGAGCTAGCAGGCGAGAAGCAAGTAGCGGGCCTCAAAGGGACGAAGCGGCGATCTCTTCAGCCGATGAACCGGAAACTGCTCCAAGGGCAAGGGAGGCGGGGTCAGGTCCAGAGGGCAGAGTCGAGGGGGCGGTTGACCAATCGGCGAGTGGGCAGGATGTCCGAAGGACCTGCAGGCATCCTCCTAAACTTACGGCGCGTAACACTTACGGCACGTACCCGAAGCTTACAAGAGTGTCCAGCTGCAGACGCGTGTAGAGTGGAGCTCCACAGGAAACACGTGACCTCTACCGGAAACTACCACTCTGTTAGCGAAAAGAGAGAGTCTGGAGCAAGTCTGCGAATCTGAAGTAAGTTAAGCGAAGCGACAAACATTAAAACAATCTCGTGTGCACACAATATTTGAGTCTAACGTTATGTTGCTTGACGAGCTGTTTTAGCATTTGTTGTCATATAGAACAGGCTTTCCATGAAAACATTTAACGTTTACTTTAAAACTTTTTTTTTTGTTCGCGGTTCTTCGGACATGCTGCAAAGTCTTATTAACCATCTAACAGTTAAGTGTATTCAGTTGGAAGCCGTAGGTGCAGTAATCCCCACACTGTGTATTATGTTTTTTTGAGATTACATTTGTCATTACATTAACAGGAACATTGATTTATGAACTTCTGATTGTAAATATGGATCCACGTTTAAAAATGCCTTTACTTTTTCAAGGTATGTTGTGTCCGTTTTCATGTTACAGACTGGCTGAACCCACAGAAGAAAATATCAAGGCAGCACAAGATGGAAAAATGCAGGTGTGTCTTCCATGGCTGCACGAAAGGATGGAATGTGCAAAAGAAAATGCTCATCCAAACACTGGATCATCAGACCATTACGTCCTTTATGATCGCTTTCATGAAGGGAATACAAAAGACCCCAAGGAAATACTTCGCAGGATCCAGCTTGTCCCCGAGTGAAAAGGATGGCTTAATAGTCAAGTAGCTGAGCAGTTTTTTGCAAACATGCGCAAAAGTAACTACTTTTTAAATAATATGAGTCCATCCACGCATGTGTTTTTGATGAGAACTATACTGCATCACCATAACACTCATTCCAACAAGCAGCTCTTGAACAAGCAGTTAAGACATGGTCACCGGCTCAGAGAGTCGAGTAACATCACCTTATCTGCATTGGGACAAGCTGTTATAGGTAAATAAAACATTTATTACCATGCCTGCAGACATTAATTACTGTTTGTATCTAAAGCAGTTCATATTGGGGGGACTTATTTCTGTTATTTTGTACCCCAGCTCCCAAATTGGAAAACACAGAGATGACACTAAAACAAGCATCTTCAATGTCAAGTGACTCTGGTATGGTTTCTTATTCAGAATTCAAGTGTTTTCTCCCCTATAGGCTAAAAATTAATTCCTTATTATTGCTAATGTTTTTTCTTGTGCATGTATTCTTCATTATGCTTCCTGTAAAGTGTCTTTTGTCAAAAAACAAATATTGTCTATATTAATATCGAGCAAATAATTTCTGTATGTTATATCTTAAAATAATAGGAAGCTTGCAGAGAACATCAGTCCAGGGGAGTGGTCTGAAATTAATGGCTTTGAGTTGGAGGTATGTGATCATGTGTGTGCTTATATCGTGATTTACTTATATAGTTATATTGATGAAATGTGATTAAAGAGTGTTTTATCCCATTGTGATAATAAAGGGGTTTCCAAGCCAAGAGTTCGGGGTTGACTGTGGCATCTTCATGTTGATGGTAAGATTCGTCATTCAGATATTTTTGGACTGTCAACATGCTTTTGAAGATAAGTAATGAACATTGACATTT